GGACTTTGGATTTCTGATGACTATCACTGTTTCTGCTGCTTTTATAAAGGATAATGCAAGGATCCTGCTATAATGTTAAATCTAGACAATAACTAGAAGAAACTTGAAGTGAATTCCAAAGAAATATGACATCCTTTAGGTTTGATGGAATTCTAAAGGTAGAAGTGAACTTTATAAGTAAGTTTTTATAATCTCAAATGTTCTGGGTACTTTGTTTACTTCCCTTTGTATCGACAATAAATATCTTTGTTTAAAAAAGAGGAAATCTTGTGGCATAGTTCTTTCAGTCAATTACTGCGGTTTAGAATGAATCTTTAAACATTAATAGTCTCTGACAAGTATATCTTGATCCCTGCTTACCACAATACTCTGCAGTCTCTTCTAAATAACATTCTGCATTTTTCTGCTTTTTCCTGCCAAACCAAATAACCTTGCTTTCTCACATTATACACCATCTGCCAAATTTTTGACCACTTCTATTTCCTTTGGCAGATTCTTTACTGTCGTTTCAAATCACTTCCGGCTAATCTTTGCAGCATCAGCAAATCCATCCCTTCATCCAAGTCATTAATGGAGTCGCAAATGGTTACAGCCTCATAATCCAACCCCTGTGGCACCCCACTAGTTACAGATTGAAAACCCATTCAATCCTGATACTGTTTCCTCTTTGTTAGCCTGTACCCTTCCATAAAAACATAGAAAATAGGAACAGGAACAGGAGCAGGCCGTTTTGACCCATCGAGCCTGCTCTGCATTTCAAGTTTGATCACCGCTGATCATCCAACTAAGTTCCCTGTTCCTGTTTCCGCTCCCCACCACTTCCTGCTCCCCCCCCCCCCCCCCCCCCCCATACCTTTTTATTCCTCTAGCCCTAAGAACTACATCTAACTCCTCCTTGAAAACATTCAATGTTTTGGCCTCGATCACTTTCTGTGGCAGAAAAGTCCTCAGGCTCACGACTGTCTGGGTGAAGAAATTTCTCCTCATCTCAGTCCTACCCTATATGCTTAGACTGAGACCTCTGGTTCTGGGAACATTCCCCTGTCTTTGGGAACATTCTTCCTATGTATGTCCTGTCTAGTCCCATTAGCATTTTATAGAATTCGCTACATCCTCCCTCATTCTTCTGAGCTCCTGTGAATATGGTCCTAACTAATCTAATCTCTGTTCATATGGTCGGTCCTGCCAACCCAGGAATCAGTCTGCTGAACCAGAGCATCCATAGACACCTGTATCCTGTGAACGAATATTTTTTTAAAAATCCATCCTCTGATAAGGAGACCAAAACTGTGCACAAATCTCCAGCTGTGGTCTCCCCAAGGTCCAGTTGAAGCAATTCATCCCTGCTTAAGTATTTGAATCGTCTTGCTATGAAAGCCAACATATCATTTACCTTCCTCACCGCCTGCTGCACCTACATGCTTACTAACATATTACTCAATGAGTTTTTAATCTGTGCAGTCATCTGTTATGAATGCCTTTGAAAATCCAGGTACATTACATCTACTGGTTCTGCAATTTCCACCCTACTTGTTATATCCTCAAAGAATTTTAATACACCAGTTTCCTTTCACAAAACTATATTGGTTCCACTCAATAATATTTTTCTAAAAGATTCTGCTATTCCCTCCTTCGTGATGAATGTTAGTATTTTCCTAATAACTGACATCAGGTCAACAGGCCTAAAGATTCCTACTTTATATCCATTTCTCAAACTACTTGGGGTAAAAATCTGTAGATTGCCCAGGAGAAGCCAACTGGAAAAAAAGTCTCTCATATTACAAAGAATGAACAGATGGATAGTTGGAGTCCTTTTCCCTGGGTGGAAATGTTAAATACTATGGCGCACAGGGTTAATGTCAGAGGGGGGGAAAGTTTAAAGGAAACGTGAGTTACGTTTTTTTTGCACAGAGGGCAATAGGTGCCTGGAATGTGCTACCAGGAGAGTTGGTAGAAGAGGAGATACAAATGATACAAATGTTTAAGAGGTATTTAGGCAGACACGTGAACAGACAGGGAATAGAGGGATACAGACCATGTGCAGGCAGGTGGGATGGGTTTAGAATGGTATCATGGATGACACAGTTGCCCAAAGGGCCTGTTCCGGTGCTGTACTGTTCTATGTTCTGGAATTGGATGAGGACCTGCTCCTCCAATCACAGGCTACTTTCCTTTCACGTTTATTGCCGATTGGTTGACCAAGGCCCTATCAGCAGCAAACATGCAGGGGAAGTCTGTGATTGGAGGAATACTACGCATAAGTGGCGACACTCAGCAAGTCTAAGGGGCTGGATGATGCAGACCAGAGACGGGACGTCATGGGAAGTTTGGCCTGAGATAAGGAGCTGTGGGGTGGGGGAAGAAGTGCGGGGAAGAAACGAGGCTGGGGCCTAGGAAACACATGGGGATGGGAGTGACAAAATGGAGTAAAGAACTGAAAATGTGGGGAGAAGGATTACAAAAGCAAGGACATTCTGAAAAGGAGAGAGAGACTGTAAAGTGGAGAGGGCAGTTTATCTATCTTGATATTAATGCTGCAAGCAATCAAACAACCTTCAATTTTGATTACATTTCCCTGCTCTTACTTCACTTGCTGGTGCACTCTGATGTTTGTGCAAGAAGTCCCTTCCTGTGCATTGTGCCCCTCCCTGTCATGCTGTCATTATCATTACCGATATCAGCAGCTCACACTGTTTCCTTGTCATTTCACTTTACATTGCCAAAGCTGTCCTTCACCTCCCACCGTTTAATTTAAAGAACTAACTACTTCCCCAATGTTACAATTCACCAGGGCACTGGCCCCAGCACAATTCAGGGGAAGTTTGTAGCAATAGTAACATCTGCCTCTTTCTCCTGAACTGGTGCTGAGAATTGAAATCTATTTCTCTAACTCCAATCTTTGAGCCTTGCATTCAGCCCTTACAAACTCTGCACTGACTTGTTCCCAGCTCAGTACCCAACCAGAGTTTCTTGAAACAAAGAGGGAGAATGAGGGTGATACTGCTCATTTCAGGAGGGTGATACTGCCCATTTCAGAAGGTTAATGTTAGAGTCATAGTCCCTCAACATGTGGCAACTTCCAGTCGTGCAATTCATCATTGTGTCCATCTTCCTGGAGATTTTAAACACTTTCGAACAGCATCGTTAAACACATTAGTAAATTCTGGCACAGTTTTATGATAGCAGCAATTTGCTTTCCTATGCTGGCCTGGTATGATACCTCAAGATGTGCCATAGCAATGTAATCAAATTAAATTTGACAGAATCACAGAAGAAAGATATCAGAACAAATAAACGAAGGTTTAAATAGGGAGAGAGTTGTAGAGAGGCTTCAAGGGTGAATTTCGGAACAAGATGTATAATGGTAAGCAAAATAAAAACCGAAAGAACTGTGGATGCTGTAAATCACGAACAAAAACAGAAGTTGCTGGAAAAGCTCAGCAGGTCTGGCAGCATCTGTGATGAAAAAATCAAAGTTAATGTTTCGGGTCTGGTGACCCTTCCTCAGAACTGATGCTAGCTGGGAAAATGTCAGTTTATATGCAGAAAATAGGGAGGGGGATTGGGTAGGGAGTATATGATAGGATAGAACCTGAAGAGAGAGAAGAGCAGTTGCATAGACAAAGGAGTTGATAACGATCAGGCTGGGAGGGTGAATAGTTGTTAATGGGGACTGTTAGTGACTAACAACAGGGGGTGTGTAACGGCAGGCTATGTGGTAACAAGGCCTGGTGTGTGGGGTAGGGGACTGGGACAGGGGAGAGTTTCGGCCCTAAAATTATTGAACTCATTATTGAGTCCAGACGGCTGCAGGGTCCCCAAGCGGAAAATGAGGTGTTGTTCTTCCAGCTTGTGCTGAGCTTCGCTGGAACACTGCAGGAAGCCAGAGACAGAGATGTTGGCCAGGGAACAGGGTGGTGCATTAAAGAGGCAGGCAACGGGTAGTTCAGGGTCCTTTCTGTGAGCAGAACGTAGACGTTCTGTGAAGCGGTCGCCGAGTCTACGCTTCGTTTCCCCAACGTAGAGGAGACCACATTGTGAGCAGCGAATGCAGTAGACTAGATCTGGGAAGTGCAGGTGAAGTGTTGCTTCACCTGGAAGGTATGTTTGGGCCCTTGGATACTGGGGAGAGAGGAGGTAAATGGGCAGATGTTGCACCTTCACCGGTTACAGGGGAAGTTGCCGTAGGGCTGTGGGGAGGTGTTGGGGTGAAGGAAGTGTGGACCACGGTGTCCCGGAGGGAACGGTCCCTGTGGAAGGCGGACAAGGGAGGGGAGGGGAGTAGGTGTCTGGTGGTGGCATCACACTGGAGATGGCGGAAATGGCATCTGATGATCTTCTGGATGGTAGGTGAGGCCAAGGGGAACCCTATCGATGTTGCGGGAGGGAAGATCTGACAAATCTCCCGCACTTCTGCCCTCATCCCTTCTCTTCCCTTGGGACACCCTGGTCCACACTTCCTACACCCCCAACACCCCATCCACAGCACCTTAACCCTGCAACCAGCGAATAGAATTCAGCCTGCATTTTGAATGGGAGAAGCTGGAAATAACGAAGCCGACGGGAAAAGCAGGGTTAGGGGCAGACCACCAAAAATTATCACTCAAAACTCTAACACAAAGGATAGCCTGTTTGAATAAATGTTTAATTCATACCTAATAATGAAATAAAAGTAAATTTAACACCTTATCTTGAAAAAGATGTCACGATGACTTGATGGGGGAGGAGGTTTTGAGGTTGCTCTGTTGTTAATGCAGGGTCTGAGGGTCATCATCATCATCAACATCATTTAATTCAGGTGCAGTTGTGGTTGTAGGGTTAGGGCGAAAAACAATTAATCCAGAAGTGGTTGTGGTTCATTGTCTTCCGACTGTTTCTTGTGGGTTGGCTTTAATCACAAGGACATTTCTTGACAACATTCTTGTCACTTTTTCCTCGCATTTTTGTGGGTAACGTGGCAGAATTTGCAAACAAAAAATGGAGTACTGTACCTCTCACAGAAAGCTCGATGATCACGTGACGCTGGAGCGGAGACTCTTTCCGCGCAAACATTGCGCACGCTCAGCACAAAGACCACGAAAACGATCATGTGATGTCGACACGTGGTCGTCTTGGCGACGCGAGTTCATCAGTTACTTTATAGCCAATTGGCATAGTCAGAACATGCGATACTAACAGAACACCTTGTAATGTAATTAATATACCCCGATACCAGGAGCAGCAAAATCTTTGACCAGGAACAGAGAAGATTGACAGCACCATCTGGAGACAAACCAAACTTACGATATTACGTGGCCCAGCCAATTTCACCCAGGGCAGTAGTGTCCCTGAGGGACCATTATTTCAGTCCTGCAACAGCGCAACAGATGATGAGCATGAAGGACATGCAAGACCGCACCAAAAATGTGCAAAGCTAATGGAAATGGGTTTCAGATGGCTTAAATTCATTTGCATGTTGTTAACGCTACAGCATGATCTTGGATGCCCTGCCAACATCTTCAGGCTGATCCTGTATTTCTGCTTCTCACCATCTACGGGCAGGGATATTGGCTGGCAGTTTGATAGCATTTTCAGGTCTTTGCCTGATTTTGGCAGGCCGATGACTTTAGCTGTGATAATGTTGGAATATTTGGTAGAAACCAGATGAATATGTTGGCAGTGAGGAACATGTGCAATCTGGTGTGTGAGGATGAAACCACTGCTGTTGTGGCTGTCAGCTCCATCTGACGAAGAATGGATTTCTTGAATGCAGATCACATTAATGGTGTGTTGTTGTGTGAGAGGGCTGATGTGTCTCTTGTCTGCTTACCTCAGCTGAAAGTCAATGGACGGGACTAAGTCCCAGGCCTGAGCGAACCCATTTCCATATTTAGAAATGTTACTCGGCAGCTTGGGACAATAGCTATTTAGAGTTTTGCAGCCAATTGTGCAGAAATCCATGCAGGAAGAACTCAGAAATATCATCAGAGAGCGTTTGTTCTTGAGGAAGACAAAAAGTACAGGTGCAGCGAAGTCTTGTTTCAATTGTATTGGAGCTTGTTTACAGTGCATCCGGAGTATGTGGAATTTGGTTCTCTTTATCTCAGGAAAGAGAGCATTGCCATGCAGGGAGTGCAACAGAGGTACACCAGACTTGTTCCTGGGATGGCGGTAATGGCCTATGAAGAGAGATTTGGCAAACTGGGCCTGTATTCTCTAGAGTTTTGAAGAATGTGCCATCATAGTGAAACCTACGAAATATTTAAAGGTGAGCTATTTCCCCTAAATGGAACATTACAGAATTTTCAATAAAGTTTAGCTTCACCCAATGCAGCATGTATAACTTCAAATGATTATAAAATTCTCAATGTTCACAAAATGCATTCCATCTTCGGGATAAAGCCCAAAGGCAAAATCACTTCAAATTAGAAATTATGGTCTATCAAGAGATTTTCGTTTTGTCTGTATAATTCACACTCCACTCTGAGGTGCCTCAGTACATACTGTTTTGAATCACACTAATTAAGAAGGGGCTGACACGTGCACACACACACACACACACACACACACACATGCAAATTCAGAGAACAATCAGTGAATACTTAAAGATGGGTTGAATGGCTGACTCCAGTTCCTATATTCCTATAAGGAGAAAATATTTCTGGTATCAACAGCCAATCTTTTGAAAGAGTCTAGCTTATCATTAAGTTTCATAGCCACAGAACTGATAAGGACCATGAAACCTTCTATCTCTCTCAAAGTCTGATGACCTACTTTATCTGCTTGTACCATCGATCACCAATTATTCAAGTACAGAAGCCATTGCAGTTGCTTGCTCTCACTTTAAGTTTCATTTTAACTATAAAGAATTCAAGCAAAAGGCCCATACTGGAAGGAGACTGATCTGATTCTCCATCTTTAAGTATTCACTGATTGTTCTCTGAATTTTTATCTTTGAGCCTCTATTTTTACTTAGCCTTATCCTCTTTCTTAAACTAACATTCAGCAGCTGTTTGGAACAAACCAACCTGTAATATTTTTAAGACTAGAGCTTCACTGCTGGTTTATCTTTTAATCTAACGTTATATTTTACTCATTAAATTTGCAAAAATATATCACCAAACATTATAAGTTGAACATTACAGAATTTTCAATAAAGTTTAGCTTCACCCAATGCAGCACGTATAACTTCAAATGATTATAAAATTCTCAATGTTCACAAAATGCATTCCATCTTCGGGATAAAGCCCAAAGGCAAAATCACTTCAAATTAGAAATTATGGTCTATCAAGAGATTTTTGTTTTGTTTGTATAATTCACACTCCACTCTGAGGTGCCTCAGTACATTTTCAATACTGTTTTGAATTACACTAATTAAGAAGGGGCTCACACACACACACACACACACACACACACACACACACACACACACGCAAACACACACACACACACACACACACACACACA